ATTCATTTCTGCCCATCTCATCCAATGAGGAAAACGAGTTTGCCTAACAACCATGTCATATGGATCCCAGCAATCTGCGATGATCTTGGTCTTGGATAGTAATGGATCAAAAGCAATTGCTTCAACCAATGGAGGTCGAGACAAGTGTTCTCCATGAAACCCCCTTAACAGATGTGAGGCATTTATGAAACTGAAGCCATCGATGTGAAATTCAGTAACCCAATGCCGAAGACTATCCAAAATCAATTGTTGCACTACAGGATAGTTACAGTTCAGGGAACTTTGAGTCTTCGAATCACCAACTCCATTTGCATAATAGTAGGACACGTCATCAATTCCTTGCAGTGCTCCCACGTCAGCAGTACGGGTCACAGCAACTTCCATAAGAACTTCAATCCCATTAGCATGCAAATATTTCACCATCTCTTTCATAGAGTTGATTGTAGATATGGGACCACCAGACGGTCCAAAAATATGCATTGGGGAAAAGAAGTGACAAGGAAAATACGGTCCTTTTTGTTCATCGAACGAGAGGATTGGCTCCAAAAGAACTGCATTAACGCCAAGGTCCTTAAAATGCTGCACCTTCTCGGCCAAAGCAGCAAAGGTCCCAGCTAGACCAGTAGGCAGTTGGCTAGATTTATGCTGAGTAAAGAGCTCAACATTCAATCTATAGACCACTAGTTTTTCAAATGGTAAATTTGGATGAAAATCATCACCCCAATCAAAATCAGGTTCCTTGCACAACCTTCCAAGAAACTTTGTAGTTAAACCCGATTCATAACCATTAGGAAAAGAATTCCCAATAACTTTTGCATATGGATCTAGAAGAACATGCTTATTAAAATTATCATCCTTGTTTTGCTCAACAAGAGCCCCTTTGCGATGATAACCATAGCTCACAAATGTCCAAGCACTTTCAAATGCAATATGCCATATGTCTCCGGATCGATTGACATAATGATCTAGATCAAGCCGTAAGGCAGGTTTCTCAAGATTGGTATCATCATACAAGCATAAAACCATGCCTTCTGCTTGCCTTGAGAAAATAGCAAAATTCATAGAACCATCAGGAGAAAAAGAGAGACCCAGAGGAGCTGGGTGCCCTGGAAGAGAACCGACTGGTACACAGAAATTTGTTTTTCTATGACTTCTAACATCAGATGCACTTGACTCAGTATTGAATGATGATCTTAGGATAAATGAGAAATAAAAGGGAACTTGTTTTGCATCAAATTCCAACTCAATTTTAAAGTTGCCTGACAATGACTGTTGGAATGGGCTCAGATTCATCCCTGTTTTTGTATCCGTAGCTGAACTTTTAAAATCTGGAACCTCAAAACGTGATGAATTGGCTCTGTACACACCCCAACACAATACCAGTCCTTCACCATGTACTTCTAAGGAAGAGACCTCAACATGCACAGAATATTTGACATTTTTCTTGATAACATGAACTTTAACCAGACCACCATTTTCTGTCCTAAACAAATAACTCAATGCTCTTCTTAAATCTTCAGCTTCACTAAACGTAGTGACTTGGTTTTTACTTCCCTCAATGGATACTCGGGGTGTAGCACACAATTTTGTAGTGAAATTCTGGTAAAAAGGACTAACTATACTTTGTGGGGCTCTACAAACTAACTTTCTCTCTGTATCTGACTTCTCAAATCTAGACAATCTACTTCCACCTTTACACTCACTTAGCTGAGATGCTTCAATGACCTTCGGTTTCTGAAGGCATGCTTGAACTGAAAATGACAGAGGAAGATTTGCCATTTTTTGTGCTAGAGAACAATAAACCCAAACAAGCAAGCAGGAAATAACTTCAAAAGCCGGGAGCGAGGTCCTCAATTAATTGATTTAGAAGCATTTTGCTCTTGATAAAGGAATTAGAGCATTGCATGGGCGACACGTGATAGCCCATTTTTCCTACAAGAATCAAGAGGAATTCAACCACATATTCATGTACAAAATCAATGCTACAATCTAATAGAAAATGAAGATCGTAAAACCAACATTATTCTAAATTTAGCAATAAAAATATAACAGAAAGCACCTGACAAAAGAAAGTTGAGTGGCAAAAAGTATACCATTCAACAATGGCAGAAGAAAATCAAATAGTATGCCGCACATAATTAATGAAGAAAGAGCTGATAACTTGAAGTTGATTATAGCCAATTTCTAACAAATAGTCTTCTTAGATTCAGACACTGCCTCCTAAAAAACTTAAAACTTAACAGCAACCCCACACAGCAACGAATATAAATGAATAATAACAATATCCAAAGAGAGAGAATCGAACTTAAGCGATTCGATGATCAAGGCCTCATGATATTTACGGGTAGCTTAAAGCATTGACATTAGAAATAATGATAAGCAACCGTGTGAATGGAACTTACAGTCTGTGGGCATTTATATGTCCGCAAGGGCGGGTCGCTTAGCATTAAATGCTTGCTATGGTCTCGCATGCAACGAGCACTCCGTGATGAGTCCGAATCGGGTCCAGCTGGTCTTTTCAGATCCTGCCTGCAAAGACGGCGAAAAAAATATCGGAAAAAAAAAATAGTAAGCAGGGATTCCCTCATTTCTATCGATAAATAAGAAACATCATACAAGCAGTTTTCTTTCGAGCTAGACCAGACGGAATTCACGAGGGGAACAATTGAAGAAGAAGAATTAGAGAAAATGTAGGTTGAAAAGAAGTATTTTTGAGGGGTTAGCGAAGGTTGTCACAGGATTCATTCTCCTTCGTTTTCTGGGAAGAGTGCACGAGCATGATATTCTATAGCACTTCGCTTTCTTTTATCTTAAAATCCTTCGCTTGCGGTTATGGCATCGCCAAATCCCACACTTCAAATATTCATATCCTCCGGTCCTAATTATAAGACCCAATTGACTTATTTGAGGAGATTAAGAAAGTAAGTTAAGTTGGTTATTTATAATAAATAAGTGTTGTTATTCCTAAAATATCCTTGCTAATTAAGTATATTGGCTAAAACTATCATTATTAGAAGGATTATCTTAGAAAAAAATGCATAAATATAAGAGAGAAAATGAATTGGGTCTTATAATTAGGATCAAATAAAAAGTCAAATTGGGTCTTATAATAGGACCGGAGGAGTATTATTTTTAAAGAGTTTTTTTTAAAATTTTTTTTTTCATAAATAAGGGAATATAGGGATCATGCAACTGCAAATTGAGTGTGTCATTTATGTGAGAGAAAAAATCCTTTTATGGCGTAATATATTGATAAAAATTTTAATAGGATTTGGCCGAAATTGCCTTGATAAGAGGCAGCTGAAAGACAACGTAATTGCGATTGCGAAGTTGATGGCAACGAAAAGGGAGAAAAGAGTGCGAGAGATCAAAACTAAGCGTAAGAGAGGCCGTCAAAATCGAGATATGTAGAGGGTTTTGTTGGTTAGTTTGATTTAGCAATTACCAATACACAAGGCTCGTGAAAAATGATCCATTAGACCACTACACCCTAAACAGCACAGTTTCCGAGTAGCGATCCACTCATAGTTATTAAATGCAAAATGATTTAACTCGCCGGAGAAGGTCGAGTGTGTCGTCGAGGAGTATATGAAAACCGACAGGCACGGTGAGGGCATAGCTGCAAAGAAGTTTGCACATTTGTTTGCTTCACGCCAGATATGCTGTATCAAATCAAATCACAATCAATACATACAAACTCCAAGCATCAAGCATAGCCAAGAGGAAATTTGCAGTGAATTTTAGTTGAGCAATTAAATTGGCCCATCTTCATCATTCAGCACAAATTTACACAATTGAATGAAAGGCAAAGAACAAATTGTAGCCCAAGAGAGAAGCAGTTAGATCGAGAAGAGAGTGAGAGGCGAGGTGAAACAATACAAATGCGACGGAAATGGTGATAGAGTGAGGGGGGAAAATGGCGAAGGAGAAGAGAAGGAGGAGAACAAACTGACCTTCCAAAAGAAATGAAGAACAGAGCTTCACACCGGCGAGATTAAGAACGAGAGACACACCTGTGGTGAGGTGTTGAGGGAAACGACGATGGCGACAACGAGAAGCCCAGCAGCACGAGCGGCGACGGCCAACGCGAATGAGGGTGCCAGAGGAGTGAGGATGAGTCACGAGCGAGGCAGCAAGCGAGGCGGACAGCGCGAGTGGAGCGGAGCGGAGTGGAGTGGAGTAGGTTCAGAAATTAATCAGAATTTTTTCCCAATCACTTGATAATCAGAAATTAATATGCTTGCTTTTCTTCAAATTTATTCGGGTTAACCTAGAAAGGCAAGAACAGCTTTATATTGCTGGTTTTGCAAAACCCAACCTAAAATTCATTGGATTATCTGCTGGTCCGCCCAACCCAAACCATACTAAACAAAGAACGGACGAATGGCAAAAACAAAATAAAAATTATGAGGAGCCAGACAAAGATAAGAAAACGAAATCATCTCGAAATTGTAAAGTATGTTAAGGTACAGAGATCGCTTTTGGTGACGCCAACGTCTCTATCTGAAAGGTAAGCATTATCAGATATTAATGCCAAAATGTAACCCATCAAAATAAATTGACGACTTCTCTGCTAAAAGCTAAAGATACCGTGTAGCTTTCCACAGTGTGCAGCTGGCAATGGTAGGCCCACCATTAATGTCCTCTAAGGCAAGTGCCCTCCAATCCCATAGCTAGACAACGACCCCACACCCTCCTCATTTCTATCATTTTCCCTCGCACACAAAACTCTAGTGATATCACGGTTTGCGTTAATGCTATTACATCCACCGCTAATTGGGATACCTTTCTTTATCCTAGAAATATTCTTCCCAGATCAAATGGACCCTCACCCTTCAATTAAAATGTACTACCCTAATTATTATTCTTTGCACCAAAGCAAAATCTTATCACAATTGATAAGACTTATCATTCAAGGACAGTCATTTCAGACGCATCCCTTTCTTTCTGATGCAGATAAAAGTGAGGCTACTGCCTGGTGAAACCAAAAGGAAAACTACTAAATACTGCTTAAAGCTCAAGGCGATTTGATAATTTATCGGCACTAATATATGTACCTTTTCTTACATATGTACAAAATCTGACTATATTCACATGCCAATATTTCTTTTTACAAGGACGTATTAACACGCAGAAAAATGAAGCAGCAACTGGAAATCAGAATAAGAGAAGACACACAACTGTGCAGCAGAAGATGAAAAAACAGATTCTGCTGAGTGATTTATCCACTAGCATCAAATGCCTTCTCACCCTCCGATTGTTGTTCCCCGTGAGACCATATGAATTAGAAGTGTACACGTTTGTCAACTGATTACCAAAGACTCTCGCATATATCATCTGACCAAAAACTCCATGTGTTGTGTCAAATGCATTCAACTGTTGAGTGTGATAAGCATAAGGGCGTTGATGAAATTGCGTAGCTGGCCGGGAAGCACTTGCGGTATTATATGATCTTGACGAGTCATGAGCTGCAGCTATGCTGTTACATGATCTTGCAAAGTCATGAACTGACACGGGACCGCGAGGTCTTGGAGGTATGGCAGTCCCTACATTGGGAGACTTACCCTTGGAAGGTTTTGTGATTTGGACACGTCCATATACGGGAACGAGGGAGAATTGAGAGATTTCTGATTTGCATACTGGGCAGAATGTCCTTTCCTGAACTATGTTTTGAGAAGAAGCATTACCAAAATGGAGCCACCTGTAAATGCAGGGCCAGCAGTAGAGATGACCGCAAAGAGTTAATACTGGATCATGCAAGGAATCCAGGCAGATATTGCATTCGAAGTCACCAGGAGCATCCCTATCAGAGTCTGCAATGGCTTCAGGGGCAGAATTCCACTTTTCCACACAAGATTTATCTCCAAAGGCATCAGTTTGCGCTGCAAAATCCTCATAATGCAAATCTAAGGCCATTGTTTCTGTTTCACAATGCGTTCCCTCGAATGTCAGAATCTGAAAAGTATGAGCACTCAATGTGAGAATCAAGCTTAGTCATACAAATGTCAAGTACCAGGGATCTCAACAAACAAAGGAAAATGTTTAATTAATCATACATGGATATTTCCCCCCAGTTTCGGATTAGGACCATGGGACATTGCTTTGAGAAAAGACTTTCTATAAATCCTCCTAAGAACTCAAATTAACAATGAGTTGGTCATCGTCTGAATTTTGCCTACACGTCTCGAACCCTTAATCCTTTTCACCCTCCTGAGGAAAGCTAGAGCCTCATTACTTTTTTTCGTGACAAAAGAGCAGTATATTTTCTTCTTTTCTTCGAGATATTAACTGAGCACGATCATTTATTGTGGTAGGTACTCACCAAACTAAATTTGAAGTTGTTTTAACACAAGGTTAGGAGTTGCATGTCCATCAAAATCAAACGACCACCCAATGCAGGTCCCAATGACACTGCAAAATAGCTAGACTCAATTGACTAGTCTACCTTCTGGTCAAAAAAAAAAAAATTGACTAGTCTACCTTCTTCATTTATTAAACAAAACCCCTTTTTGTAGGGTGTATAATGTGTTAGTTTTTATTGGAAGGAAAACATTAAAAACGTTAGGTAGCAAGTCAGAGTTGTCTTCATTTGGTTGCTTCACAATACCTGGCTAACAGGAGTAGGACGACTCAACCACATACAACTTGGGATGTTAGGGAAGCAAACCAAAGAAATAACATGTATTATGGAGACAATGGAAGAAAACAATTTCCAAATGTCGAAAGCCATTCATTGAACCAATTATTAAAAACGATTTATCAATTAGTCTGGTTAATCAACGCATCTTTTATCTTTGTGCCAACCGGTCGTGAACAGACCAGCAGAGTCTTCTTTGTATGGAAATTTGCAATACCTGAGTTCAGAAAAATTGAAATTTATTAGAAAGAAAGAGTGCCAAGATCTCTTATACTCTGCAAACGAAAATTCATTTAAAACTATCGTATGCAGAACGAATGCGCTAGAGAAGAAGGGATTAGTAGCGGTTTAAGAATTCATGATCTGAACAAAAACCCGTCAGCAACAAAAGATCCCATTTTTTCCTTCTCAAGTAAAAGCGAGACTCAGATAAAGTAATTCTAATTAGAAGAACATTGAATCCACAGATTACGATACAGGAAGGCGCGCAAAAGAAAATAGAGGAGGGGGCAGCTGACTTATATGTTCTCAGCGTGTGCGCGCGTATAAAGCTTCTCGTACGAATTTTGCGGGGAACAAGGCACAGTTTTAGGCTCTCTGATTATAAGAACAGAAAAAAAAATCCTATATAGAAATTTCACACACCCAGATGAATCGAGAGAATCATTCCACAAAGTTCAAAAAAAAAAGTAAATCTAATGAGAGTGCAGGAAAATGAAGAGAGAAAAAGCGGAAAATAATTTGATACTTACAAAAAGAAACAGTGAAGGGCTTGATGGCCGAAGCAGCAGTTGGAAAGAAGGGGCGAGGAAGAGAGGCCAGAACCCAGAAAGCACGAAATGCAGTGAGCAGAACGAAAAGAAAGAAATGAGAAATGCAGAGGACGAGTGGAAAGAGGGAAAGGACGGAGCTTTATATATAACGAAAATGACGCGCACACGGATAAACATATCCTGACGTGGCATCCACAGATTGCAAGCTGCCTCTTTAGTAATGAGTTTAAACTGGAATTCAAATCTTCGGGAAAAAAATTAAATTAGTTTTGATTTGTTTATAATAATAATATAGAGCTATATGAGGAAATGCTTGATAAGTTAAAGCTTAATAAAATTTCAACATAAAAACAGTGTTTGTCGTTTAGCATGATATTGTTTAAGATAATGATGGCAAAACGAAAATATTTTATAAGATAATGAATTATATAAAATAGTCATAGAGTTAATTATAAGAAATGTGACATGTTTTTTCTAAAATATTATAGTTATCTTTTTTAGTATCGTTCCTCCCCTTCTTACTTGATTATGGTTGATAAAATATTAATAGGAGTAATTTAGAAAAAACTGATAAATATAAAAAATAATAAAATATGTTTTATATTTATGATCAAGATTAACTCAATAATTAAATTCTTATATTAAGGCGGGAGGAGTATTTATTTTAATAAAAGTACCTCTTTTACTGGTATGAGTATCATGCTTGACCATGTTAATCGGGTTATACTTATATGAACATTTTAAAATCAAAGAGATAAATCGAAACAAAACTAAACTCAGTTCTTTTTTATACTTGCAGGAAAATCAAGCAATTGGTATACATAATATAACTCCATTAGTATCAGATGTCAAATAACAAAACTAAAATTAGTTCAGTTGAAAATAAAAATCAGACAAAAATAGCTATCGTAGATGACTAATGCCCTTATGGTTATACCGTACTCATTAAAAAGTATTAAAAGTAAGGAGAAAGAAATATTGATTAATAATGATGAAGTTAAAATAGGGATAGGAAAATTGTTTGGTTCACGGAACCCCAATTCCTTTTTCTCATGGGGCAAATCAATTAAACAAGGCTCTTAAGCTTAAAGGGAACAAGATACAATGGGCAGATTGAGCGTACAAGTGGCAATATTGGAGGCTGTTAATATGTCGTAACCACTTGTCAAATGTTATCCATGTTTTCGTTTCTCCCCTTTTTGTTTGTCGCCGTGTGAGTTGTTTTCTGAGGATTCGGATTGGATTTACTTCCGACTTCCACGCACCCCTTAGATTCCGGTCACTGCCTCTTCATTTCCATGGCTTTTTAAGGCCATATTTGGCATGCAGCACTGGATTTGAGGAGTTGGGATTGGAAATATTGGCAATGGGGCTTTTAATTGGGAATGAGATTGGAAATGGGGCTCTTTAAAAATATGTTTGGTACAGGATAATATTCGAAAGGAATGGCTCCATTAATTTTATTTTATAATCAGATATAAATTATGGAGAGACTATAATACCCCTTTTAAATATTTAAAAAAAGAGAGACAAAAATCACAAGCTCCAGAAAAGAAGCAAAATGATCTCACTCCCCAGTCTGACTTGCCTCCATCTCTTCCAAATGATCTTTGAAACTTAAACTCGCACTTCCTCCGTTTTTATTTTTTAGCTTTCCTCGTGAATTATCGAGTGTGCTTGTGTTTGTGTGCGCTATAATTTTATTTTGGAATAATATACAGTTTCTTTTGATTCATGATACATTTTCATATGTTAATGTTTATGGGTTTTTCAAGGTTATTGCTGCAACTGTTCGGTGTAAGTTTGAAGATGAAGGCAGAAGAGAAAAAGAAAACAAAAGTGAGAGGGTTAAATTTGTCCGAAAATTATTATACATAGGGATATATTTGCCCAATCCCACCTATGTGCCATTGTGCAATCTCAAGGCTTTACCAATGCCTCATACCAAATACCGATAATTGCTCCGCTTCCTGACCCAATCCCTGCCCTACTCCCCTTATGCTGCGTACCAAACATAACGTAAGAGTCCTAAGGAACAAAATAATGTGTTAATTTCATTTACAATTTCCGCTGAAATTTAGTCTCACTTATTTTTTGATTCATGAAATTTAAAATTAGTAGTTGTGGTCTTCCAAACCTTATTTTAAAAATTAAAAATGTTTAGATGGATAAAAATAAAATAAAATTTCAGAGTATAAAATTATTATTTTTAAATTCCAAGAATTAAAACTTAAAAGAAGTCAAACTTTAGGAATTAAAGATAATATTGCCCCAAAAATAAATTAAGATGAGAACTACTGTGTTGCGCTCACTGAACCTGTTTCTCATGTTGTCAGTTTTTAGCATTAGTTTTCTGGTTCACTAGATTAGCTTATTTATTAAGCAGCAGTCTTGTCTGTATGCCGGTAATAATTGTTTATAATTAAAGAAAAAAAGTTAACTGTAACAAGGTGATTAAATCAAATTAAAGGTTGTTGTTTGAAACGTCAATACAAGAGCACTCTTGATCGCTCAAGTTAAATCAAAGCGTGAGCCGCCTTACAAAGCACATTTATTTTTTAGGCTTACCCCTCACTTGACACTTATCAGCCTGACAATGATTTGAATTATTAAATCAATATAGTATAACCCCAAGCTAATCCCTTGTCCGATAATAAATTGAGAATCTAGTCCTAATTGATGTGGGGCCGGGCAACTTTCCCAGTTGATGAAGTGAAAAGGAAACGCTAGTATCCATTCCGATCGTAAACAATAAATAAATCAATTTATCTGATGATTTTAAACATAAAATTCAAGGGAAATTGTAGAAAGAGACAATAAAAATTACGAGATTGTAAATTAAATATTTTGTCAACAATTTGTGGTCATTTGCCATTCGATTACTATTAAAAACTATACAAGTCTTGCAATAAGTCATAATTTGTGATTTTACAATTTTCACGATTTTTTTTTTTACATTTTTTCCTAAAATTAAGCATGAAACTTATTATCTGTTTATTACCTGGTTTTTGGGGTGTCTGTGAAACTGGGGGGAAAAAAAACATGACCGAATCAGCAACAATCTAATATGAATTTACATCCAAATCATCAATTTTAATATGAATGGGAGCATGAAATCCAATATTCATGGCAAGTCTTTTTAAGTAATTCAACCCATGGTTGGGAACTAATCTGCCTTGTAATTTTGATCTTTAGCATATTTAACTCAGATAAGTTAATGAAGCATTTGACCCATAGTTAATGGAGAGTTAGTCCGTTTTATGCTTCGATGCCTTTTTGATGCTTTTTCAGAAATAGAATCACTCAAAGGATAAATAGTTGATACTGACTTCCCAAGGTACATAAAAAATGAACGCTCCAAAAAAGGTTTACCCGACTCGCATTTTGCTGGGTGCCTACGGATAAGTTCTGGCAACCAAGAAGTTTATCAGATAATATTATCATTTCGCATCTACATATTTTGTTATTCATGCTTGACAAGCCTAAATATAGCAACTCCGAAGACTTGATAGTGACTTTTAATACTTGATATTTATGTCAACTATGAATTATTAATAGTGTTTGTAAGAGACTAGCTCCTCACCATGTGATCAGCCAAAGCCATAATCTCCATGCAAAATGTGTATAACATAATTGCTTTTGCTAAAAAGATATCTGTGCCTTTTTTTTGGGGGGGGGGGTTGTTTTACTAACTCATTCGTTCTCAGCATCGGGGAGCTTATCTGAAAAGTGGATACACGTGTTGTGCAGAATCCATCACGAACGAGTGAAATTGTCAAATTAGTCCATCAAATCATTAATTGTCACGCATCAATATTAGGTTAGTACGAAGAAATAAAAGTTAAATCATATGGTGGGGTTCGATCATGGGGAATGTCATTTTATTGTGGCTCCAGTCGCGGTGCTGGAGGAGACATCTCCACAAGCGTAGTGAAGCTGAGTGATTCCTACCTTTGGGCCAGAAAAAAAAGGCTTGCTTGTCATGCTCCCGTGCCCATAGGGACAGGTCCCAGTGGATCAAGCGTTAGGAGCCCTGCCCTTGGATCGTGGGTGAGCCCGACCCCTTTCATAAAATTTTGCAATAAAAAAAAAAAGTTAAATCATATGGTGGGTTTCTTGTATTATAAGAAGCTAATATGACTGATATTACAATTCTATCCCTCGTCTAGATATTATATAACTTGTCAAAAGATAGAAAGCATCAGACTCATTGATGCATCAGCATCAGGCGGAAAAAGAAGAAGAGGACACAAAAAACCTCCCCGTTGTTCTGCACAACACAACAGCCCAAGACACAGAGTTGACTGAGATTTTCAATTTTCCTGACCAAAAACCAATATGTCGCTTCATGTATCCGACGGCCCACGGTAACAAGCCCAAAATGAGCGCACACCGGGCTTCTTTATCGTTCATACCCATCTATACCAACTGCGAAGCAACCCCTGTGATCCTTGTCATATCTGTTTACTAATTTTTTTCACGGTATAAAAACTAAATAACAAATTTACAAATATCAATAAAATTAATTAAGATAATTATTCATAATAAATAAATATTTTGTCCTCTAAAATACCCTTATCAGTCATTTTCATTGAAATTACTCTCTCATATCTATGACCAAATTAAATTTCTAATTAGTTCTTATATTAAAGATTGAATGTTTTTTCTTTTTTGGGGTGAGATTCCTCCTTTACTAATCAGTGATGGAAGAAACGCGGGCAACATGATTCAAAGGGGGCAAGCAGTAGTACAACTAATATCCTTAGACTCGCTAAGCCTTCCAACTCTGGATGATGAAACAAAATCTACCATACCAATCAAATACCCATATGAGTATGCAAAACAAAAGTATCACTTGTTAATATATAAGAGCTAATTAAAAATTTAATTTGATCTTAAACATAAGATCTAATTTCATTTTAATTTTCGTATTTACAATTTTTGCCTCAAATTAGCCAATCAACTGTTATACTAAAGATAGGAAGTAGCAGTGATCGGTGGCTTTTGGATGATGAATGATTGAAGGCCCACAATCTCATGCCATCGTGTCAATGGTCTGAGAGTGAAAAGTGAAGGACAAGGATCATTATCCTTTGAAATTGGGAACGTAGTGAGCATCATTGATTAAAGGCAGGGGATAGAAAGTGGATGATAAGGAAATTCCATGGCTTTTGGGTGGCTTGACGCAGCATGGAGGCCATGGGATAAGGACAGGCATCCTTGCTTGCTTGCTTGCTTGCCATAGAGAGTAAAGCGCTAATTATGGTTCGTCCCTTCTAAGTTTCAACCTTTCATGTCCTTTTTCTGCGCTCTGCTTTACCCCACAAAAATTGGGTCTTTGCGTATTTATCTTCCTCCACCAAACTTGGGTGGCATCATTCCATAACCCCGCTCCAAAAAAGAATATACTGTCGCACCCATTACATTTGACGATAAAGTTAGAGAGTGGGATGAACAATTTGGGGAAAAAAATCAACCTATTTCTTCACACCACAAAAAAAAAAAAACAAAACAAAACCTTCATCCGGGTGCAACATTTTTCATTTAATAATCCATCGAAGTTAAGCATTAATTTTCTCCACGTGGTAAAATTCATCAATAATTATATAAGCTCGTAAATTTAAGTTATATAACTATATATCTATATATTTATGATTCGATGAATAATTTAACTTAAATCGTTTTTGCATTAAAAACCATTTCTTTCTGCTCTCCTAGGATCCGTTCATGACTACAGGCAAATATCCGTTTGGCCACATGATTGCTTTCCACTTTCCCCCAAGTTGTTGTGAGCTCTCATATTCACCAAAAAGCGGGGTTGGGGTGGGGGTAAACGAATCATTCTCTTCAGGCCTAAACCTAGACACAGTACGTTTTGCATTTTTTTTTTTGGGGGGGGGGGGCGCTCAATTAACTTGAATTTTCTTCAAAAAAAAAAAAAACCAACAAGGATTGATTATACTGAGATAAAAAGGAGATCAAAATCCTGCAGACAAAGTAACCAGAAACATTTTCTCATTTTCATTTTCTTATATTCCGTAATATTACAATTTCTCTCTTCTCACTCTAGAAATCATACTGGGAAAACTGGAAGAGTTGAACTCTTTGCCCAAGAATAAATTCTGCAGACAGCTCCAGGCCAAAACCACGGAGAGAGGATAACAAAAAGGCGAGAGAAATAAAATAATCAGAAGCTTTTGATTCATCTGTGGGCAGTGACCAACGTCTCAATAAATCGCAAACCGTCAAATCTCGGCGCGAATTTGTTACCGGAACATGACCTGACCGACGACGATTCCTTGAGGCCCTTCCCAACCAAACCATCCTGCAAAACCAAGATTGTAGCAAATTAATTTCCCTAAAGGAAATTAACAAAGAGATAGAAGAAATTGTCAAAAAAGGGGCTAACCAGCACAGAAATCTCAGATCCCAATTTTTTTTATTAACTCAGTCTCAATCAAGCAAGGTTAAACTCCCAAGAAATTGGCAATCCCCCCAAAATTACGAAGCGTAGCTAGTATAAAGCTGAACGGTACCTGATAAGTAACCTTCGCGGGCGCCGAAACAGAGACGACGGTGGCGGAGGCTGCGGCAACCGAGGCCGCGAGGAGGCCAGAGAGCTTCATTGTGTTGAGATACTTGATCTTGATATTCTCGCAGGAAAAACGGAAAGAAAAGAGAGGGAGAAAGAGAATTTGGATTGCTATAATTGATTTTGCGGCACACATATATAGCGGGCCTCCTCAGAGTTCGTGACTTGGTGCTTTTGTTATGTGTGACAACCGAAGGGCGAAAACGCGGCAACTCTCCTTTGCGAATGGCCAAGAAATACTCATCCCCTCCCTTTTCATCCATGTTAAATTACGGGTTCGCCCCTCTCCGTCAAAATTTTCCATAACTCCAATTCAAATTATACTCCACTTTAAAATATAAAATAGACTTTATTTGGTTATGTTTATTAAAAAGAATTAGTTAAAATCAGTTTAAAATAATAAATATATAAAGTATTTTTTTTAAATATACCTATATTAATAAAAAAACGAGTAAAAAATATAATAAATGAATCAAAAGAGAAAAAGAATGTATGTTAGGAATAAAATTAAAAAAATCATTAAATATTTAGGAAAAATAAACATTATTTTATCTCTAACAATATTTATCTTCCATTTCGAATTGATGGGAGTATTAAATACTGTAAAAAGTGCACCTTGCAAGGCGGTTTTTTCTTTATTTATTTACTCTTTAAACTTGGGTAATTGTCTCGGCGATGTGATTCACACGAACGAATTCCATTGTGAAGCATTGAAGTGATCGAATAAAGAAATATTAAGTGGCCCTTTTTGCGGGAGGTGGAGTTGGGGGAGGTGGGCGTGAATCTGATAGGGCCAACGATGTCGGAAAGCCAGGAATGAGACAGTGACACGTGCGTGGTGGTGATCTAACCAGCCATGCAGAGCATTTCCCCTGCAGTTTACGGCGCTTCCTTTCAGGTCCGAAATATTCGGCAGGAGCCAGCTGGTGCAGCAGCGGATGCAATTTGGAAACAACTCTCTTTTGATATAAACCATCCGGTATCCAACCGCGTCTTTCTGGGCCCCAGCCTCTTTGGGCTAGTTGTACCCGAGCGATCGACTAGTCCGGATTCGGGCCGGGCGACAAGTAAAGCCCTCCCCGGTACCCTTTTTAACAAGTGAGGATTCGAACCCCCGCCCTCAAAGAGCAGAGACTCGCCTTACTTGTAGCCTAGCCAGTCACCACTAGGCCAGGAGTATTCGGGTATTTGGAAACAACTCTTCTCATTTACCTTATTTTGGCAGGAGGGATTTGAAAGGAAGAGGAAGGAGGAAGAAGGAGTTTAATCATTTCTTTTTATTTGGCAACATACAAATTTTAGGAGGGGAGGAAAAATTTTAAACTCCCCTCCAAAATTGGGAGGATTTGGAGGAAAATAGTAATATTTTGACATGTTGTGGCCATTATGTTCATATTTTGTCATGTGATGACCATGATGCCCATATTTTAAATAAAATAAGAACGAAATTATCCATGTAAAAATATTTTTTCCTCCCCTCTCCTCATGAATCAAACAATGTAACACTACCTCCGGTCCTTAATATAAAACCCTATTTGACTTTTATTTTGATCCTAAACATAACACCCAAATCCACTTTATCTCTCGTATTTATATCTTTTTTTCCAAAGCAGTCTTTTTAACAATAATAGTTCTAGTTAATATATTTGATTAGTAAAGATATTTTAGGAAAGACAACATCTATTTGGGATAAAAAACTATTAGGAAATACAACATCTATTTAGGATTAAAAACTAACTCAACTTACTTCCTTAATTTCCTCAAATTAGTCAACTGGCTCTTATAATTAGGACCGAAGGTAATATTAAGACTCCTTTCCTCCCTTTTCTTTTTATAAATCCAAATAAGGTAATATTAAAATCCTTCCATCCTTCTCCCCTCTCCTTCCCACTATTAAAATCCCTCCCCTCCTTTTTCTCTCATTGAGCCTTCGTTGATGTAGCCGAAAAACAAACACTTGGACGGCCATCAAACGGTTAGGAATATTACTGTTAGAATCTGGCATCAGTAGAACGATGGAACGTGCAATACCAAGATAGGGTACCATGAATACTATGTTATCTTGTGCCATAATATGAGGGTTGGGTTTCCTTATCCCTCCAGACGCGTGAATGGACCCCTTCGAGAGCCCTGCTCCACTGTGTGTGTTGTGATTGTGATCCCTAGGACGCTTTAAGGATTTTTTCACTTTAATGAAAAAGACCTGGTACATATTCTTCGGCCAGATGAATTTGCCTTCTCTCAATTCTGGCGTTATCTTTGAGCTTGATTGTGAAATAAATGCTATTATTACCCACCAGGTGGGTCTAGAAAACGGCATATCTCATCTCGTGTTAAAAGACTAAGAAACCGATTCGCAGGTGGCATTTTCATTAACATCCTAATTAAGTTTACCGTATCACTCGACCTCTGCTCACTTTGGTGGAAAGGTTCAGTTACGACCCTAAGAAGCTTGAGCTGTGACTGCCTGATGATGGGATTGGCGAAGATGCTGCCTATAGAGAAAATGTTCCTCTGTTTCTGTAGCATTCTTATTTTTGCAATTTTAATGGAATGATCAAACAGGTACTTGCTATCCTAATAACGGCAGAAAAGCTGTACCTCAAAGGCTCAAATATCTGGCTACCACGTGTCTAGTTGTCGAATGCAGCTAGATTCTGGGAGTAGTCACAGAACGCAGCTTTCTTAGGCCGTGTATTTTTTTTAATGTTCTGATTCTGTAATTACAAGCTCACGCTTGCCTTACTTATACCAAAAAAAAAACAATATAACACAGAGCGAGACTCTTCTCATTCTGCTGCCAAGACAATAGTTTGGTTATATAGAAGTAGAGTTTGGTAATCCAATTTAAATTGACATTCTAATCCAAATTGGATTTGACAACCTTTATTGTCTTATTGCAACTTTTAGTATCATAGCTGTAATTTACATTATAGCCCGCAGCACACAGTACAGATCATGTGCCTTGACCAATTCTGCAAAAAAGGGAAGCTGCATCAATTAGTTGATCATTTATGAACGAGAAACTTCTCTCTTTTTTCCGACAAGCACTTAATAGTTAACATAAATCAGAACTTGATTTTAAAAAAAAAAAAAAAAAGAAGGGTCCTTACGTGGAGCAATCCATACTATCGGAAATAGGGAAACTGAGATGGGTATTGCACATGATGGGGAGAGCAGTGACTCTGTCGGAAACTATAGGTGGTGCAACCCCCTTAACCATGAGCTCAATACACTGGCAGAGCCGGCGGGGACCGGTCCTGTGATGTGCTAGTATGTTAAGCTTCTCTATGTGGGTGCAACATCTTCTCGGAGGAGTTTCATGATCTGGAGCCGCCACCAGAAATTCCATGCAATATGTGAAGTATTCAAATATACGCTCACACGCTAACGCATCAATTGCCTCTGCTACTCCTTTTCCTGATGCCTCACCTATGTCTAACCCACTTACCACTACCAATGTTAGTATTGAAATACCCACAATACGAGCCATTCTTCTGATTGTACAAAGTAGGTAATGCTCAAAGTATTTGTAGACCAGAGTTAGAGCATTCGATAAACCACTTGAATAACTAACTCAACTACATGCCATTTTTATGTTCCTTAAATCCCTCAAAACCGTTGGAACATACACTTCCCCACAGAAATGGTGTCTGCATAACATATATGGACGAAAAGACTACTACTTGCATCACATGCTTGCTTTACTTCTAGATTTGAACAACTGAACCTCAGCTAGCTGGCATAACATATGCTTATTTATCATTATTTTTTACCCCGAAGAAAATAAAAGATGAAATCTCTGATAAACAATGAATTATCTTTGTTAGGATTCCAAAGAATCTCAATCCAGACTTAACCCCCATGGCTCTGCATTCATTCTTTGACTTATGTTTGCATCATCGAACGTGAAAAGAGGGTGATTGATGGTTACTGCCTTGGTTGATTGCACGGTTAGCTGATAGGACAAATGGTGTTCCACAAATATTAGACACCATGTTCCACAAATATTCCAATTGAACTTCCAGGGCACGCCCACCCAGAAAAGAAGCTGCCTAAAAATACTTCACAAATATTCCAAAATTTATGCAAGGAAAAATGTTGCAACCATAGAAATAAAGCTGCCCATCCTGCCCTCTAAATGAGTTGCATTTTACATTGAAATCCCATAATTGATCGTGTAATACGAAAAGGACACCATAGGTCCTAATTATTTGCTTTCCAAAAAGGTAAAGTGAGCGAGTCCACTACATTAAACTGAGCAGAATTGACAATGAAATCAGATTCATCAAGCCCAAATGTCAGTGATCAAAGACTTCAATATATCTTCAGAAGACCAAATAATATCTTCGAATCTAATTGAAGTTCCTCTCCCGGCATCTATAGCCATGGCAAAACAGATATAAATGTACAAATACTTCATCAGTTCAAGAGAAACGCTCCTTTATTCATAACCTTAAATTTCACAGCTACGGCAAAATGCCCATGTTACCACAGTTTGACGTAAAACAAGTTCAAATTATCCACCCTAAGTCTAGTTAGAGTCGAGACGATATTCTGTGAGTGTTTTTTTTCCGTGATAAAAATAAGAGATTTCGACCACAAGGATTTGTCATATTCTCATAGATCGCTGGAAGACCATGTCTACGAAGCTATAATTCAGCAGCTGACAGCATATCAATAATTTTTTATGGAGTCGACGAAGCCGCTGCTAAGAAGTCTCTCCACATATTTGCCAAGAATATCCACCTCCAGATTTACCTTCTGTCCAACTTTCTTCAACGGGATCACTACGTTTTGCTGAGTGTAAGCTACCAGCATGAAGTTGAAACACTCTTCTTCATCAAACACATCGACCACTGTCAAACTAGTCCCATCCACAGCAATAAAACCTTTAGGTACCACATATTTCAGCAAATCCTTCGCTGTCTTCACTTTAACCCACAGCGAATCTCCCTCTTGATCCATTGAAACAATCTCCCCTGTTCCATCCACGTGTCCCTGAACAAAATGCCCACCCATTCTGCTGGTGGGGGTCACAGCCCTTTCCAAATTGACGAGCGATCCGGCTTCCAATTCGACCAAAGAAGTTTTCCGAAGCGTCTCAGGAGCCAACCCAACCATGAAATCGGAAGCCTTGAGATCGAAATTGGTCACTGTAAGACAGGTACCGTTGACAGCGATGCTGTCCCCAAGATTTACGCCTTCGAGAACGGTTTTTGCTCCTATCTTCATGTCGAATCCGCCGTGATCGGCGACACCTAGCTGCTTGATTGTGCCCATTTCTTCAACGATGCCTGTGAATAGGCATCGAATTGTGCTTTGGCGATGGGTTATGCGTTTGCCCAAGGGAATGAACGCGCGCAGAATGGACGGCTTGAAGTAGTTGAATCTGCCATCAACGTTGGATGGCCTGCTTTTGGGATTGACGAATCGACACATTGGAAGGACTGCTGGGGTTCTGGATGAGAAGGTGAGAGAGCATGAAGCCGCCATTTTTTATCTGGTTGACCCTTTTTTCAGAGCTCCGGAGTCCTAGACTGGCGGCGAACGAGCCGGGGGACAATCTATTCAGCAATAGGACCTTTACCTCTATATAAGAGCTGAACTTCCGGCACCGAACCCTAGTAGCGTCGACCTTTTATGTGATGGCAAGTCAAACGCCCGACATGTCTCGAAAGGTTACCTGTTCTATTTTTTTTTTTTTTTTAAAAGAAGAAGTTTCCTTTGGTTAACCGCGAACAACCGAAACCTTCAGCAGTTCAGCTTCAGGAGCCCCAACGGTCTCCTTCTTCAAATTCTATGCCTTTAATTGCTTTTTACTTCTAATGGTATATCACTCCGTTTTTTATTATAAGTTATTTATATTCTAAAAGTTTGTTTCAAAATATAAGTCACTTGTAGTATAGTTAACATCTTTTTTCAATTTTACCCCTATTAATTTAATAAAAAATTAATTAATCTCTCTCCATCTCTTTCTCAACTTTTCATTTCCTATACAATCCATCCCCTCCCCCTTCTCAACGTTTAATAAGAGTAAATATGAAAAAAGAATTAGTTAATTTAATATATTTCTTGATTTGCGGGTTTGGAATATAAGTAACTTATAATAAGAAGCAGAATGGTATTAGTTTAGAAGAGAAACTATTGTTCAAGGGCATCCTATACAATACTCTTCCGATCCTAAATGTAAGACCTTTATATACACTAGTATAAGAGTCTTACATTTAAGACTAGAGGAGTAACATGTCTCTTGTTAAAATCACGAAGGCAGATTTAAAAGGACATAAAGCTTATTCTAACAAAGAGAAAACCATATTAAAAATAACTATACTTTCTTTTCATTTTTAATTTGGTATTTATGTGTTTTTTTTAACTAAATCATTTAATTTGCTTTTTGAATAATATTAACTTTTGTAACTTTGCTTTATTAGTATTGATATTACTGTGCTTTATTAGTATTGATATCTGTGTGAGGATTAACAATGTTAATAGAGTAAAATTAAATATTTAATTTACAGAAGAAAACACATATATAACAAATTAAAAATTAAAAAAAAAGTATATGTACCTCCAAAATGATTTTTCTTTCTAACAAATTAACTTATTAGGAAAAAGAGTTTTTTGAACTTATAAATTTTACTTCTCTTACTCTTTGATATAAGATTCATAACAAGTCATTGCGACTATAATATTGCTTTTTGGCTTGGGGAGTGGAAGAAAAATGAAGAAGGATACAAATATTAATGGAAGGAATAAATTCACTGCTCGTTCATGCTTTACTATTTATAAATAAATTATCGTTTTATACAAGCAAGCGTCACTTTTCCTCTTTAAACCTAAAAACTTTTCTCACACATTTCATCCATTTTACAAAAACCAAACATAACAGAGGCAAAAGTCAAACAAAAAAGATAGGAGTCTGACATATTCACCAACAAAATAATGACATAATGTTTTTTTTTTTTTGCGTGTAAAAACTGATTTTCTCTCAGAAGACATGGCTGACAAACATGAAACTTTTAAACTCCGTAATTACGTGCCTCTGGGTTGGAAAAGATCACTGTAATTTGCTTAGACTCTGCACATTGTAAGAACTTCGGTTTACCCAGAAACATTCAGTATTGGCTCAATAATCATATTTTACAGCAGGGGAGAGGAGGGAAGTGGGCTATGTTTTTTGGCTGCTGACCAAAGCACAGCATGACAAAGAGACACATGGCCAAAAACACGCATATAGGTTGGCAATATGCACGCTGTTTTTTTTCCAGCATAATGGCGTATTAAGATATAAAGAAAATGAAACACGCATATGGATTGGCAATAAGCATGCTGTTTTTTCCCAGGATATTAAAAAAAATGACAATTATGTGCCAAAAACAAATAGGAAAAGAAAACGCTGACTAACGTAGGATGACTGCAGCTGAGAGCGACATGCAAACTACTGTAACCTTTTCTCACTCTTGTAGATGACCAATATCTAGAAAAATTGATCAGAATAAAGAATGGCCTAAAGACACTACACCGAAGCTCTACACAAGCACACAGCAGCTAAAGTAGAAAAAGCTTCCATGGACGGTGACATAGATGAATAGTTCACCTAACATCACCACAACGAAGTGAAGAAGTATGTAGTCAGTCCACGACCATTATTCTCCTTCAGCTTAATTACTCGTTCCTATCATCCTTTAATTTTCTGTCACTCATATTCTTTGAAATCTCATCGATTAAACTAAGTCATCCCCTGAAGCCACAATTCATTGCACAGTCCATGGCCAAAACCACGAGGTTCTGCTACCTTCTATTAAGGGTCCTGGCCTTTGGGGCGACCCTTTCTTCCGTCATTGTCATGGCCACTAGCCACGAAACATTTAGCTTCTTCACGGTATCCTTGGAAGCAAAGTACACCCACTCCTCTGCCTTCAAGTAAGTGTCTATCACTGTCACTTGATTCTTTGATTGTTCTGCAGAATCGTTTCCTTCATTCATAAGCTGATTATGTAGTTCTTATATACCAACACTTTTTCTAGGTACTTTGTAATTGCCAACTCTGTAGTGGCCGTCTACGGATTCCTCGTCCTCTTTCTTCCCTCAGGAAGTTTTCTTTGGCAATTCGTCATTTTCTTTGATTTGGTAACTACCTTGACCACACAGTATCTGTACCACCATGTTTTTCTGTGCAGTTTTATGAGCTTATATACATATATACATATATATATATATATTACACATGGCTAGTTGATAAATTATAGATTTTTTTCAAGAGGCTTAAAGTGGAAATTGCATTAGAGCTAAACTAATGGGTTGATGTTTTGAACAGGTGTTCACAATATTACTCACCTCAAGCATATCCGCCGCATTGGCTATGGCTTATGTGGGCAAGAAGGGAAATAGATATACTGGTTGGGTGCCAGTATGTGGTCAAGTACCCAAATATTGTCATCAAGTGACAGGAGCGTTAGCCTCTGGTTTCATTGCACTCATTATGTATATTATTCTCCTTGTTCATTCCATTTACAGCATCCTACCTCTTCTTCAAGCAGGTAAAACCTGAATACAGAGTTTGGAAACATCCAGAGACAGAGTCCTATGCTGTTGAAGCACAAGTGAAGCTCTCTTTCTTATCATTTTTGCTCTTTTTGCTAAATTTTCTGCCTTTCTTGCGATGTCTCCTTTTTCTTTTTCTTTTTTTCCTTTTTTTTGGGGGGGGGTGTGTTTGGGGGTCAGTTTGATTCCTTTCCATAGGTATTTGGTACTGGCAATGGAAGTATTTAATATGATGTATGTATCATATGATATTTTTACAGAATACTAAACCTGAGATTTCCTGATTCGGATGTAATATCATGGTCGAACATCGTGATTTAATGAAGCACTGAACAAGATTCAAAGTCAGTAAACTTCGGTAGCAGCAAATGTAATTTGATCGGTTTCTAGCAGTAAAAATATAATGAAAGATGTGGAATGAGCCATTTGTCATTCGTGTGGAAAGAGGTCGGTTTCTCAATCTATACTTAGTTATTAATCCAGATTAATGAACATCATGATTTAATGAAGCACTAAACAGTTATTTAATGCTCCTTTGATTCTTAATATAAGTTATAGTTTGTAATTCAAATCCACAAGCACCGGAGGTGGTGTCTGTGAGTAGCATGATCTGACTGGTTCTGTTTTTTTCACTCAGCCGCCTACTTTTCTTGTTCTGAAGTGGACCCACTTTCATTTACTTTATCAAGCTCGTTTCGAATGGCTTTCAATATTTGACTCCCTTTTGTGCCCACCATATATATGTGTGTGTCTGGAAAAGTCTTGCCCATGAAGAAAGGTCATTCAATGTGACTGAATTCTTTCCGCGGTGACAATAGTAGAGCCGGAAAAAACGAGCCGAGCCCGTCGGGCCGGCCCTTTTAGGCCCTTTGGCTTTCAAAATTATGAGGGTCGGGTTTGATATTTTTCTCTTAAAATGAACATAAGCCCTGGAGGGCCGAGGGCTTAAAGGGCCGAGGGCTTAAAAGGGTCGGCCCTGGAGGGCCACGGGCCGGCCCTTTTAAGCCCTTTTATATTTTTTTATTTTTAAAATTTTTTTATATAATATTAATGTTATTAATTTTTTACATTGTTAATAATATTTCAAATATTTAGTTATTATTATCATTTTAAAAGTAAATTTAGTTTTAGATAATAATTTATCCAATTAAATTTTTAAAAAATAGGTTAATTTGGACTTTAATAATGATTTGATTTATATTATATGCGTTGATATTTTTAAACTATATATATATATATTTGATAATAGAATATTTTTATACTTATATAACTTGTGATTCTATAATTTGAATTAGAAATTCATGAGTTTTAACAGCAATGTTTCTCACATTAAAGTAAAAAAATAGTTAGATTGCAAAATTTAAAAATAAAATTCTTATAAAGAAGAAAAACTTGATATTTTTGTTACGCAAGAAAAGTATACTTATGAAGAAAAGTAATTAATTATAGTGATGATGAAGTTTCAAAAGATTAATAATAGTGTTTATTTATTGCACAATTGCATTATAGATAAAACTTTTAGATGTTGTTATCTTGTTAATGAATGTTTTAGATGTTCTTAGATGTTGATGAATATTTATATATGATGATATTTTATATGTGACTTAATTTTATTCATATTTATGTCTTTTATTAATAATTTCATTGATTTATTTTTATAAAAAATATGATAAATATAAAAAATAGTATTTTTTCTTAAACGGGCCAAAAGCCCGCGGGCCGATCCTGGCCCTGTAGCTTAAGGGCCGGGCCTAGCAAATTGGGGTATTTTTAAAATTCCAGCCCTGGAGGGCCGGCCCTTTTAAGCCCGCCAGCCCTGAAGGGCCGGCCCTGATTCCCGGCTCTAGACAATAGATATTATGAGCCGTTTGGAACAACTTATAAGTAGTTTATAAATAGTTTTTCAATAGTGATTTACGGAATGTGAGATAAATATGTGAGATGAGTTTGGTCTCGATTTACGTAAAACGTGTTTATAGGAGATTTCTTAAACCCTCTCAAACAGGCCCTATGTGTTGGACATAAGACCCATTTTAATTTTGTCTCAACTCATGTTTCGATATTTTCTATCAAAATTTTATATTTTCTGCACATTAAAATATAACAAATTTTCATCGATTAAAAATTTGTCCCCATAAATAGTTTTTAATTCTGTTACTATTTTTTATTCGATTTTGCGTAATTTTTATGAGAATACCAAGCTGTCCGCCATGGAGAGTGATTAGTGGCGTTTTGAGCAACTGTTTGTTTGCTGACAGAATCTCCACTTTAATAGCAGAATTCCAATCGATACTCCGTAGTCCGTAGAATAGCAATCACATCCTTCCCAATTCGAACAAGCAATTTCCTTAATTGGCTCCGAAAAGTTTTTTGTACATTTGTTGAGTTGCTTCCAAAAGGTTCTTGCTCCTTGAGACTGACCTATCATGCTCTTGCATGTGCTCATCTTTTTGTGATCCAATATCAGCAACGGTAACTTTCCACGCTTTGTGGTCCTTTTGACAGGATGTTCCCAAACGCACAGTCGTTTGAGAGTCGCTCCGTGATATTCGCTGTTTGGCTTTTTACGCGTTATCTGTATATCTTTTTTTTTTTTTTGGGTTTGTGACCGTGGAGAGGGAAAAATATATATAAAAAAAAAGAAGCGTCAATGTTGAATGTGTTTAATCCATTGATCCAACACGGATCGATGTACAAGACGCAATAAGTAGAAAAGCCACGCCTGAGGGCAAAAATCGTACCTTTAATGCTGGTGGATCGTTCTTGTTTTCCCAATGATCCTGGCAGTGCACATGGATTGGGATCGGCTGTTTAACTCTGAAAAGTCATCGCATTCCGATGTGTCTGAATGAAGTACTAAAACACGGTGGGAGAGAAATCATCTGGTACAATCCAAACGTATCCTCCAGTAAAGAGTGAAAGATGTCGAACTGAGGTTCTTAATTAAGCTGACAATATTATGCCGACACCGTGGATACGATTGCCTAAGCTGGCGGACGTCGACTAATTAATGTGGATCCAAGTTCATGTCGACACGTTACCCCCTCATCATAAATAAATACTCAGAGTCAATTCATCCTTCTTCTTCTTCTTTTTTTCGCCCCCTTCTTTTAATTGGGACCAATGTCCATATCATCGATTCAGGCCACGGCCATTGCGATCCGGAGGCAAAGATAAGTACTCTATTTCTTCCATCATCACCCCTCTTTGGCATGCTATCCTCTCCCGTACCGTCATTTTCTTCCACTCCTTTTCTAATTATAATCGGAACACATGTCGGTTTGACATAAATCAGATACTTTTTAAAGCGTTAGTTTCGTTGTTATTTAGGCTATTATAGTTATTATTTCCTACAAATAGTCACCTTTCTTCTCTCTCCCAATCGGCTTCATTTTAGCAATAAAAAAATGGATATTCTGATCTGATTTCTGAACACCAACTATAGTTTGTATTTATAAAATAAAATACCGAGGAAGAACTTGTATAGATCAACTATTCAGCTGGGGCAAAAAACGTTACTTTCGGATTCGGTTGAGGTTGAGGCCTTCGTTATCACATAGTTCATTCCAGAAGAGAAGTTTACGTTAGTCTTTGTTTGATCTCATAACTGGTAGCTTCTACTTCTGCAAAGTGCTCGCAAACAAAGATGGAGCCTTTGCTCAAAGGCGAAAGCAGTGGTCAGAGGATGCCATCGCCGGGGTTATTCCTTCATCGCTCGCATGCTATCGCTTACGGTTCGCCCACCGTGAAAGCGGCTGCACTTGTCGATCTGGTTGGTTCTTTTCCTTTTATGTTCGTTCTGTACTTCTGTCTCGTACTCGACATTTTTTTAACTTTTCCTTGATTGCGGTAACTTCACTGACAAGCTAATGTGTTGTCTGCTAAGTTGAATCTTAATTGTGTTTTAATATAGCTCTCGGGTTGCTATTGAAGTGGAAGAAATCTTTGTAACTAAGTGGCAATTGTCAATATGCATATTTCCTTTCTGATCGGTTTATACTCCTGGATTTGGTTGGGGTTGCATTCTGCAGGCTGAAGACGGCGTCGGCATCCCAGAGCAAGTACTCGATTCGTCGAGTTTTCAGAGCTCCGCTAGATTTTATTTCATGTTTACTAAATTAAACTTTATATGGTCACTTGGTTACTTTGCTCTGCTAGTCCTGAATTTCCTTGAGGTCAGTATTAATTTCACTTCCACTTGTTCCTTGGGTGTAAGGCTTTTAATTAAAGGAAAAATGAAATCAGAAGTGAATAGACTTCTCATATTGCTTTGCACCGTCCAGAAACCCTTGTGGTGTGACAAGTATACCGCTTATTCTTGCGACGATAGAGAGCATTTCTTTCTGGGACAACTGCCATATCTAACTGGTACAGAATGTGTTATTTATGAGGTGAGAGTATATGGCTCTTTAGACAGCATTTATTTGTAATTGCATGATTTCTTGATGAACTTTTTTGAGTCTCTCTCCCTAAAACTAGTGAATACCTTTGGCAACATTGAATGTAAGCATGTCATTCAGGCGTGCTTTTAAATTCATACAAAGCTGCCAATGGCATCGTTCTGTTTCATTGGCTTGTTTACTTTATGCATATTGTGGACAGTGTGATTAATTGTTAAGTAAGCGCTTTGGAGTTTGGAGGGATATAAAAAGTATGTACTTGGTCAAATTCTTGTACAATTATGTCATAAATTGAAAATTACCCCTGATTTTTTTTTGGGCTGCGGGACCACAATGGGACTGGCTCATGCCAAACTAGTGTCTTGCTTACCTCTCAGGTTGTTGAAGTGTCTTTCTATTATTTTCTTAGTTATCTCTGGTATAATGTGTTGTATGACCTTTTTGTTCCTGTACAGGGTATAACTCTCATTGTGCTTATCGTACATACTTTTTT